AAGGTCGACCAGCTATGTCCAGGTACGCACACAGCGACGATATGCGCATAACGTACAAGCTAACATGTAGCAGTTCCCAAGGGCACTTTCGGCGCACAGGGCGAGCAGAGCATCCCCGATAGCATCATGTCCCAAATCCCCAGCATTGCTTTCAACATTCCCGACATCGACAGTCAAGCCAGGATGCAGCTCAAGGCCAAAGATGGAGGCAAGGACCTGGCCTGTATCACCTCTCAAGTCAGCAACGGACAATCACTTTCCACCGCAGGAGTACAATACATCGCCGCTGGAATTGCTGGAGCTGCCTTAGCTGTTACTGGTCTGGCATCGCTCGCTGGCGCTGGACACCCTGGTGCGGCACAATCCAGTCCTACCTTCGGCGATGTCATCGGATGGTTTCAGGCCATGGCTTTGAACGGCATGATGAGCGCTGACGTCCCTGGTGTATACCGCAGCTGGTCCCAGAACTTTGCCTTTAGCACCGGTCTCATCTACTGGGAGGGAATGCAGCACTCCATTGACAACTTCCGTAAGAGCACCGGCGGCAACCTCACCCAGAGCAGTGTCGAATTTCTCAAGAACGCTACCCTCGTACACGTGGACCAGAACATGACCTTGACCAAGCGCAGCTTTGACGTCCTGTTCGCTCGCGACGAATTGAACACGAACGTCAACGATACTGCCGAAGAGGGAGGTGACAACAAGGTCATTGTCTACGCGAAGGACATGCAGGGCTTCATTCAGGAGTACACTATTCCTGACCGTAACGCCTTCATGACGGTTCTGCTCATCTTTGCCATCATCATCGCCGCAATCACCGTTGGTATCCTTCTATTCAAGGTCATTCTGGAAACATGGGCACTATTCGGCAGCTTCCCGAAGAAACTGACTAGCTTCCGCAAGCGATACTGGTGGACTTTGGCTAAGACCATCACCAACTTGATTCTCCTGCTCTACGGTATCTGGGTTCTTTACTGTGTCTACCAATTCAAGAACGGAGACTCGTGGGCTGTCAAAACACTTGCTGGTGTTACTCTGGCCGCATTCACCGGAGTTTTGGCCTTCTTCACCTGGAAGATCTGGAGCACTGCGGACAAGTTCAAGAAGATGGAGGGAAAGCCCGACGCCCTTTACGAGGACAAGGAGATTTGGCGCAAGTACAGCATGTTCTACGAGAACTACAAGAAGAGCTACTGGTGGATCTTCGTACCGGCCATCATCTTCATGTTCGCTCGTGGTTGCGTTATCGCAGGAGCAGATGGCCACGGTCTCGCACAGGCTGCCGGTCAACTCATCGTCGAGTCGCTTCTCCTTGTCATGCTTCTCTGGGCTCGTCCGTACACGCTCAAGTCTAGCACCTGGATTAACATTACCATCTCGGTCGTTCGCGTCTTGTCGGTCGTCTGCATTTTGGTCTTCGTCGAAGAACTTGGCATGAGCCAGACCACTAAGACCGTTACCGGTCTGGTCCTCGTCGTTGTGCAGGCTTCCCTCACTGGTGTTCTTGCTATCCTCATTGCAGTCAACGCGATCATAATTTGCTGCAAGGAGAACCCTCACCGTAAGAAGAGAAAGGCAGCTGGTAAGTCTTCTCCACCCCCTGCTTGTCAACACTATCTAACAGCCCCTGCAGAGAAAGCTCGTGACCTCGACACCCTTACTCCTCTCGACGCACGCAACTCGCTACTCATGGACCCCCAAGAGTACAAGCGAACCTCCCTTCCATCGCCGTTCGGTCCCCGCACCGCCGGCTACGACCGCGTTCCTCTCGCGGATCAGAACACCGCATACAACGGTCCCGGTGGTCGTTCATTCGGTGACGATCAAGGACACTTGCTCGCCGATGCATCCACATTCGGTCGCACAGCAACGCATGAGCGGAGCTTGAGTCGCGAAAGCAGTCCAGGGCGCGAGGCGGATGTTGGCTTCCACCAACCACCCGGCTACGTGGCCAACGCCCCATGGCAGCCTCAACAACCACGAGGCCCTCCTGGCCCCTATGCCTACTAAGCCAACGACCTTTTGAGTCATCCAAGAGTGAAGACCTAAAGAAGCGAAACATCTCGCCATCTAGGCATAATCTCCTATTTGTTTTGTATCTATGTCTGCATCGCGGTGGTCGCACTTGACAAACCATAGAGCGGTCAAACCATCATCTATCTGCCGCACACGGACCGGGCCATACCTGCGCTTCACGTCTGTGTATTTACGAATCTTTCCTTGTGTTCATCGAGTTTTTTTGTGTAAAGAAAGATCTGATACAAGCTCTTGTAATCTCATGCAAAGCGGTAAGCCTGGGGCTCGCGCACACATACCACTATCTTTTCTGCTATATCGTCAAGGTGGAGTGAAGGAGAAGAAGGTTGGAAAAGGGATGGAGTGAGCGGAGTTGGAAATGGAATGGGAACGGCAATGTGAACTAGGATGTAGCGAAAGATGTAAATACCAATACCCAACTGTTATATCGCTGTTTCATGTACCTCTGCGTGGTTGTGAGTGCTGTCTGCCCAGAAAATGCCATGTCTTGAGATCTTACTACACGCGGCTCGGCGGCACCTGGCCTAGAATCGTCCAGAGCACGTGCGATCTCAACTTCCGCCGATAAGCCCTGCAGGCAGAAAGCTACCCAGCCGGCCAGCTGAACACTCGCTGCAGCCCCAAAATGTTGGGACACACTTCGCATGCGCCACCCCTGAGCCAATACATCCTAGCGACGTACCTTGCCTGGGCTGCGACATGTAGTATCTGAACGAAGAGAACGACCCAAAACTCTGAACAGCCCGACGCAGATTTGTACCTGCCGATCCCTCAGATCGCTCGATGTAAATCCTCATTCCATCACCCTCGTCCCACCTAAAAACCACGCTTTTCCCGCCGAACGCCTCCGGCAAAGTCGATCTCCCGAGAATTTACTTTGGGTCGTGCTATGTCCCCTTTGGTGGCGCGGGCTTATGGGGCGCTTGTACCTGCGTCACGGCAGGCGTCACCAAAGGTTCCAAAACCTACCTAGCACGACGCCACTACGCTTTTCTGAGCGGCGCGGCAGCAATCTAGCCGGCTCCCAAGATGCCGGTTTATCTCTTTTCGATAGATGCTAACAGCCATGGTGCAGGTGTAGCGTGGGTGGGCGGTGGGGTTATATTGTTATCTCCAGCCTGGTAGCGCACCTAGGCATCTTTTTTCTGAAGTACCTGAGTTCGTGACGTTTGACGGCGTTGGAAGCTAACAATCTTTTGACTCGTACGTGTATCTATTTGGGAAGAAAGGCCCTCGCTGTGTAGCTAATCGTTGGTTTCTGTTCTCTTTTCCTGGACTTCTGGACTTTTGTACGACACCCGGCTTGTTAATTGTCTCGCCTTGGCCCGGTTGCAAAGGCGCTTTTGTGGCTTGCGTAACGACTCGTTTTCGAAGTTTCTCCTGACAACTTTGGGATTTTTTCGTGGCTGAGCTGGCTAGAAGAGTTGGAACTTTACTGGAAGGTACTTTTGCTTCGTTACCTACCTGATCGCCTCCTGTTGTCTACTTTGTCTTTGCCCATTGCGACGAGCAAAGAGGTATCTTGAGGTGTCCCTGAATAACGACACCCAATCGCACAGCGACCAAACAATCAGCAACGGACCCCTTTGCGGCCTATCTTCGTATCGCTGGTACCGAACAACCAGATCCACCTCCAAAAAAAAGTCGGATTTCATACATCGCTACGCCCGAGCGCACTTCAACACACAAACCTCACAGCAAAGATGCGACGAACCGCGCTCCTCAGCGCCGCAACGGTGCTGCTCACGAGCACAACCTCCACAACCGCACAATCCACGGCCTCAACATCGTCAAAACGCGGCCTCGTCTACGTCCCATCCGATGACCACCCCAACGACGACAAGATCTGGACAACGGGCCCCTCTCCCCCAACATGGTACTACAACTACCAAAAAGACCCCTCGTCCGCCTACAAAGATAACGCAGACATGCAATTCGTCCCCATGCTCTGGGGCGCCTCTGACAGCGACACCGGCACCCCATTCCTCGACTCCGTAAAGCAGCAGATCAAAGACGGAGCAAACATAACCGCCGTCCTCGGCTTCAACGAACCCGACGGCGGCCACAGCACCGGCGGTTCCAACCTCGCCGTCACCACCGCCGCCGCACGCTGGAAAGCCGAAATTGAGCCCCTCAAGGAACTCGGCATCAAGCTAGGCGCACCGGGTGTCACAGGCGCAGAGTCCGGATGGCAGTGGCTGGAGAACTTCTTTAACGAGTGCGATGGCGGATGTAACCCCGACTTCATCCCTGTGCACTGGTATGGCAACTTCGAGGGTATGATGAGCCATATTGGACGCGTTACGACGATGTGGCCGAATATGACAGTGTGGGTCACGGAGTATGGGTACCCGAATCAGCCGCTTGAGGAGACGCAGAGTTTCTATAACATGAGCGCGCAGAGCTTTGATAGTTGGCCGTAAGTATTCGTCCCATGTGGCTTTTGGCAGTGATAATGTTGGCTAATGCTGTATCAGGAACATCACACACTACTCCTACTTCGGCGCTTTCCGATCGGATGTCAGCAACGTGGGCGCGAACGCTGCGATGCTGACTCAGGACGGCGAGTTGACGGATATCGGGTCGTGGTACATGGGCGGTGCGGCTACAAACAACGTTCCTGAGGCTTCTGGTGCTTCTATGGCGGGAGCTGCACCTAGTGCTCTCGCTCTGGGTTTGGTGGCGATGGTGTTCTCCTACTTTGTTTAGAGCTGCAGCTTGGCCGACGTGTGGGCTGGAATGTCTCTTTGGCTCAGACAGGAGTGAGAATGTAGCTGATTTCCACTGCAGAACGGCATGCTGATGAAGTGCAGCAAGCTAGCGAAGGGCTCACGAGAGATGTATGGCATTGCGAAGGCGTTCAGGAGTCAATATCGATTAGACGTTACTAATAGAACGGGTTTCGCCTACTAGCAGAGCCAAATTTTGATTCTATGTTACCATACAGCCTCTAACATGCATACCTACTGCCTCTCATCCTCTCCATGTTCGAGTGCAGCTGTAGGTACCTCAAACTTCTTGCGACCCCTAACAAACCAATCCACCATCGCAATGACCATGAATCCGATAAGAATCGGTGGCGCATAGTTCATTGTCAAGCTTGTCACCGGTCTTGATGCTGGGAACGATACAAAGATGATGACGTATACCAAGTAGACGATAGCGCAGAGCTTGATCGGAATGCTCCATCTGCCCAATTGAAAGGGCCCGTACTTCGGATGTTTACCGGCAAGCTGACGAGCCGTGAATAGCGAGATTGGGACGAGGTATGATACGTATAGCGCGATGGTTGGTAGGGATATAAGCGAATTGAAGGCGGCTGCGGAACCGAGGTTGATGAGCGATAGAAGGCAGCAGATGAAGCCAACTAGGAAGAGCGCGGGAATTGGAACCTGGAGCGTCGGATGAATCTAGAGCTTTGTCAGTTTGATTCGATCAATATGGGCATGGTTAAGACTCACGTAGGTGAAGTGATGGTGGAAAGGAAGACCTTTGTCGGATGCGAATCGCCAGACTAATCGAGCCACAGATGCAACGATGTTAAAGTTGCCAACCATGAGTTGAAGCCCCATCAAAACCGTCATTGCTGTTGATGCTGCCTTAGACCCTGTGCTTTTGGAGTATGTTAGTATTGGACGTGTGTCGCCTCTCAGGTGGTGCACTTACGCGGAGTAGAAGACCTCCGTGATCGGCAAGATCGATTTCGCGACGGCTTCTTCATCACCAATGCAGAACATCAAGCAGATACAGAAGGCGATCATCATGATTGCGTTCAGAGAAGTTGCCAAGATCATAGCTTTGGGTACCCGCTTGCGAGGTTCTTTAGTCTCCTCGACTGTGGAGTATATTAGCATTGGCATTGGAGGTCAAGTTGAGTTGCGCAGCTTACTCATGTGGAGGACACCATCAAAACTACTGATGGGATATGCTACAGCGAGCATGCCAATAGAGAATGCGACACCGGGGTTTTCCCAACCGGCGTCTGTGTGCAAGGTCATGAAGACATACTCGGGTGTACTGCGCTTCGCAAGCGTGCATAGTGTCGCAACGATAGCAACGAAGAAGACAACGTGGAAAATGCCACCGATCGTTTCCAGATAGTTGATGATCTTTCGCAAGTAGAGGTTGAGAACCAGCGGAACAATGAGGAAGGCGATCAGAAACACCGTCGAGTGCCAGGCCTTTGGTTCGTAGCTTGGACTGTTGAAGATAATCAAGCCGGATAAGGTGTTCGACATGAAGGAGAAGGCGCCGGCGCAGCTGCAAATCCAGGCAATGACTGTGATCCAGCCCTGAATAAACCCCCAGAATTCGGGAGCGAATGCAGCGAAGCGCGCCGACCATCTGTACTGTGCACCTACGGTGGGGTCCATGGAGGCCATCTCCCCCAAAGCTGTAGCAACGAGGGTAGAGCCGACGCCAGCGATCATAGACCCCCAGACAAGCGCGGCAGGGCCACCATTGAGCCATGCAAGCTGGAATGACAAGCCAACAGCTTCCCATGCTACTTGGAGTGTGAAGCCAAAGTTGTTGATGGCGAGTTGGTTTATGTAGCGCTGAGAGAAATTAGCTGGCCAATCTTTGAGCAATGGATTGGTGGGACTTACTTGGAACCCGCCACTACTTGAGGAACCAGAGGGGAGAGTGTCATCCTTGGGTTTCTCCGTCTTCTCCCGTAGTCCATCGTGATAATCTGGAACGGTCGTCGTGACAAGCGCCTCATCCTTGTTCATATCGATGGAACGAGGAGAGGGTCGTAAAGATGCGTCGTGGTCGTGGGAAACCGTGAAAGTACGAAGCATTGTGAGTGGTAAGGGATTTCACTGGACATGGGGTTCGGAGGTTTTATCCTGGGGCTGACCACAGACGATCTTTAGAGCCGACCTCTTGTTGAGCGGCATAGATCCTGACATCTACGAAGCGAGCTGCAGTATACTTCCTGTTTACGTCCCATGCCCGGGCGTATCTCAGGATTCCAACTTGACTCATGTAGTCAAGCTCCAGAAGCAGACCTAGCCAGTCGCCAAAGAGACAGTGGGGATCGTAGGATGCCTACGCCGCAAGTCTGCATCGACGCGAGGTGTCTAAAACAGTTCGTTGGGGGGTTGGAAGCTGCGTTCGAATGTTACCTTGGATGTGCATTGACAGGGTTCTTTACTTCCTGGTCTCCTCTTAACACCCCTCCCCATCCTCTCCTTGCAAAATATAGATTGCTAGCCGATAGTACCTAGGTACTATTGAGGCTCAACAATCGCACTCTATCAGTGGAAGAGATGCCTAGGTAGCAGAGCACAAATCGAAGGAATGGTGTTTTTGCGCGCGCGGTACAGCAGCTCGCCTGTCGACAGACACGGAATCTCATTATCAAATGGCGTTAGTAGCTGCAGCTCGCAGCTCTTTGTCTTCTTCGGATCTGAGGCGGCGTAAAAGAAGCATTGCCGTGCGGGTGGGGAAACAGCAACGGCACGGGCCTGACCCTCCCGAGGTCTTGATGGAAATTAGCCCGGGCCTTTAACCTCATTGGGGTCTTGGCGCAGTATTACCGCTAACCGCTCTTCGCCGTCGCTTCAATCATCACTCCACCTCCCTTCCGGGCTTCGCGCTCGAGCTTCATTCATCACTTCTCGCATCGCAAGGAATTAAGGATGTGTACATGAACAGGTTTGGAGTCTACATCGAAGTCTGGTCGCCTACTTCGCATGTTCTCACTCATGGATATTAATGGAGGCTGCAGACCTGTTCAATCTTTTCCCACGTTGACGGTACTCTACTGCTTTCATCAACCTCGCTTCAGGCCGTGCGCGGCGGCGGGCACCCAGCCGATCGGTTCCTGTGGACGCACACCCAAGTCACACTCGAGCGATGCGACCTGCCTTTCGCCATCACGCCCACCCTGGTAGGCCGCGTAAGTGGGCATCTATGGCCTTATTGAGACCTTTGCATCGTCCATGATACCTAGGTACTCTTGTGCAAGCCATACAGTAAGTTTGCTTTGAGTAGCATCATATACTTTACGCCTCGGCTAATTGACCTCTGACAGCTATCATTCAGTATAAAGGAAGGAACAGAGATGAGGCCTCGAGGGATTATCTCGCAGGCGACACCGCCTACCGCCATGTCCCTTGTAAGTCTCTCTGACGTGATCATCGAAGTCGGCACGGGCTCTGAGCAATATCATTCCTACTGCGCCTCATAGTCGCGTATGAGATGAGGCTCCTAAGAGCGGCGGCGACTCTCTTATCATAGGCACCTGTTTTATGCGAGCAGGGTACTGCCCGCCAACTCCTATGTTGGCTATCAGCGAGAAGGATTTTGCTGCTGCCGTGCATGCACGAATGAACGCCTGAATGAACGAACCCAGTGAGCTGGTCGTGGAGAAGGACATTTAGTATGAGTGATCTTAGACGTCAGCGTTTCTGTCGTGCCAACTCCAACACTGCTTCGTCGCTCTATCATGGCTGGCACTATTCAACCCATAGCCGCACTCACGGCCGAAGACCATGGCCCGATCAACACGATTGTCTCCATCGTTCTTCCAGTTACAAGTATCCTCATCGCAACTGTCCGCATGGCAATGCGGCGGCAAAAGTTCCATCAGCTCGAGTCTGATGACATCGTGTTTGGTGCAGGACTTGTAAGAATTCATGTCTCAACTTCCTGTACTCACTTTGCTAATCAAGCTCAGTGTTTTGGTGTCTTCACGTCCATCCTGTCTCACTTCTGCGTCCGAGCAGGCCTGGGCAGACACCAGGATACGCTTGATGACAAGCAAATGGCTCATTACTTCAAGGTAAACAATTGTATTAGGGGCTGCGGACTTTACTAAACACATACTTATAGCTTTTTTGGACCGCACAAATCTCGGGCGTCATTGCTCTCGCTCTCGCTAAGCTATCGCTCGTTGTTCTGTTCCAACGCATCGCTCCAAAACAAGTCGGGCCTCAAGCTACCAGATGGCTTATACCTATGGTCGCTGTCTACACACTACTCTCTCTCTTTCTGATCGCCTTCCAATGCCAGCTACCACAACCTTGGATACTTAGTCCGAAGACTTGCTCTACACATGGCAACGTGTACTATCCGATCACGATCTTTAACATATTAAGCGACACTGTGCTTGCTTTCTGGATCTTCCCACTTATCCGGGGTGTTCAAATGAAATCCCATACCAAATCCATTGTATTTTGGCTGTTCGGATCGCGTTTACTCATTTGCGTCGTGGATATTGGACGAATGGTAGTCATTCACAAAGCTCTTCAGCTAGAGGATCAAACACGTAAGGAGCCATGTTCTCATCAGAGCATATCGCTAATCACATCCCAGGATCGCAACTGAGATGGGCCGTAATGGATCAAATCGTTGTTCACCTTTCGATCAATCACGCTACACTACCTCGTATCCAGACCTTCCTCTCGCATCTACAAATCGGCGGTATGAGCACGCATATGGGAGCAAGTCGGGGTGGTATACGGACGACTTCCAAGGGTAGAAGCAGCGCCGCCAAAACCACTCAGGACGACTTGAAAGTGGGGCGGACCTCCGATAAAGCTTGGAACTCATTATGCAGCCGTTTCACCGGGAGTATCAACAGAACGCCTAGCATCTCGGAAGAGCCTCTTCGTCATCAGCACGGCATTGAGCTATTCACAATCGTATACTCCGGGAAGGACGACGCTACACACAGGAATATGGAGCAGAGTCGATCAGCAGCAACATCGTTATCGAGCTCTAGGGAGGGCTTGACTAGAGAAGACATCGCAGGCTCGCTAGGGGGTGTGAGGGTGCAAAAGGAGTTTCATGTGGTTTATGACCAAATGTGATACGCAGCCTGAGTGACGCGTTTCAAAAGGCTCTCGCATAATATGCATTTATCAAAATATCACGATTTCTCCGTCCGCTTCATGACCAAAAGAAACGACCAATAGCGATGATCTCGCAAGCGACACTTCAAGTATGATTCGAGATGGCCTATCTAGGGTTTTGCGCAGCGGAGACATTATACTCGCGACGACCAAACAGGAACGTACGTCCCCTTCCATCCAGTCCACATCTTCGCCTCATCCGCACCAGCTACGGGCTCTGCAATCTCTACAAGATTTGCATCGAGTACATCCCGACAGTCAATTTGCTCCGCATTCCTAGCCCAATCAATGGGCTTCTCTCCACCCCTGTCAAGCGCATCTTTGTTCGCCCCATAATGGAGCAGCAGCTTGACACAGTCCACATAGCCTTCTGCTGAAGCAGTATGCAGTGGACTAACATTGTCAAAATCGCACTTGTTGACGTCCGCACCCGCTTCTAATAATGCGCGAATGACCGACAGTTGGTCACGACACACAGCTCCATGCAGCGCGGTACCTCCGTATCGACTTCCTGGGACGTTCAAGTCTCCCCCTTGGTGGATAATATGCTGACAGACGTGGAGTAACCCGAAAGATGCTGCATAGTACAAAGCGGTTGCATGCTTTGGATACGAAGACCAACTGCTGCCAGCCGAGGAAGACCCGGCGTTCAAAGTTTGGATCCAGGACATGAACGCTTCGTGATTGGACGGAGAAAAGAACGCAAGAACCTTCTCGTCATGTTGAATTGACGCCTTTTCTGGAGTTTCAGCTGCCCGTAGATAGTATGTCCAGGATGTGGTCGCATGGCGTAGGAAAGGGTAGTTTGCCAAACGTGCAGCGAATTCGTCCCCAGATGTTGAAGGGCCGCTCTGGAAGCTCCGGAAAGAGAGATAGGTTAGGCAGTCTAACGCAAGTTCGCGATAGCTTGCTGTTCGATTTAGCGCAAAGGCTGCCGCGGGGCCGTTGCGAATGTCTTCTGAAAGCAGATAGTCTTTCACAGAAAGGTGAGCGAGACGGACATGGCCTGGCCCATTCGTTGAGACTGTGATCAGACTGCCACAAACAGCAATTATTTCTTCTGCGCTGCTTAGGCACGAGTCTTCATCCAGCTCTTCGCAGTCATGTTCAATAGCGATAGCAGAATGAAGCTCCTCTAGTGTGACTGGCAACACCGTGAAGGAGAGCCAGAGTAGAACTTTGCGAACGATGGGTGTATCAGCGGCGGAAACTCTCATTAGTATGCTTTCGTAAATCTGTCCGAGCTCCTGTGGGAGGTGCTGGAGAGTGGTCCGGATATCGCGGACGGTACGAAGCGCAGATACTTGATCAAGACTGCACTGAACCAATCGAAACCTGTAGTGTTACCATCATGTGACGCAAGTTCATGAAATAGGCACTTACATTCCACAAGATCTTTCATGTAAACATACACTAATCTCATCCCTCACAGATGGTTTCAGTCGTAACAAACTTCGATCAGTTTGTAGTCTGTGGTCGATATACGTTTTGATGTCTTCATCGACCTCTCTTGTCCAGCCTTCCATCTGAATGAGCTCGAATGAAGCCAGTGCATCCTGGATATCGAGCTCATTCCGACTCGTAAGAAAGATGCTGATATTTTTTCCCAGGCTCTGGAGGTAAGCCAAGGATGACAATAACTCCTTCCGCTGAACGCATTCGTCAATCGCATCGACCAGCAAGATGATTCTTCTCGACGCGGAAAGCAAACATAGCATATCTCTCAGCAAGGCCATGGATGGCCGTTTGTTCGAATGGCGACTATGATCAAAAGCAGCTTCTAACTCGTCGTAGCTGGCTCCGGTTTGGGAACATATCTGCGCGACCAAAGAGCCTAGAATATTAGTGGGGTCATGTGCCTCGGCCTTGCGGAAGTCGCAATAGAAGAACGCCGCCAGCGTGGGTTGCGGCAAAGAAGGCAATAAACTCTCGAGAGACTGGATGACGTTTGCGCTTCGGTCAAGTTAGATGTTGCATACTCCAGAGTTCAACACATACTCACAAAAGGATAGTTTTGCCAGACCCAGCTAAGCGAAGATGTCAGCACGGCCACTTCTGATGTCACGATGTTACATACGAAAGCCGCTCAGCCATAGTCCAGCATTTCCGGAGACAGCCCAGGCTTGAAACACCTTCGACTCGATGAACCAGCCGCCTGTTCCAGATTTCCTTGCAGAAGCGGCTGCTTCATGGCTCTCCCACGGCGTCACTGGAGAAAGCCAATGTGTAAGAGCTCGGGATCGATCATCTGTGCGCATCAGCTGCTGAAAGTTGCACGTTATAAAGAGACATACCTAGTTCTGCGCTCTCAATCCTAGTGAGGAGCTTGGAAACATTGCAATGCACATGGGCTGTGGTCTCGTTCAGAGAGATGGTCATCTTCCTGATGTCAAGGAGCAGAGCTCTACAAGGGTTGATAAGCTGAGAGTGAGACGAGCGATGAAGCGGGGGCAGCCTACGTCTCATCTGCCGTCAACGCCAAAAGTATAGTGCTTTTGCACCGCTCTATTCTTTCTAGACATACTTTCGCGTCACCTTCTTTGAGCTGCCAACCCATAACCTGGGTGAACACTCGCGCTTTCGCCAACAGAGTTGACCTTCCAGGGGTCTGCTTGCCGGAGTTGATCTTCTTCTCTAGATCCGATAGCTCCTGGAGGCAGCGACTCAATGGGCTGGTCTCGGACTCGCATAGTAGTTGGAATGTGCGGAAACGTGCTGTGTCGGACTCTTTTGATGTGTCGAGCGCGCGGCAGACCTGTTCTAAGCTCTCCAACACATTTCGAAGGTCTCTTATCTCGTCGATGGTTCTGGTGAGGGACCAAGGACTCTGCTTGAGAACTGAACGGACTTCGTAGCATATTGTTATAATGGAGTTGGCGACCTGCAATACCGTGATCACGTTTGCGGTGACGCTGAGAGGGTCCATAGTCGTTCAATGGCAATGCTTTGCTCAGCGACGATCACGGAAGGCCTATATGAGCTCGGTGGCGTTGCACCTGTTGTGGCGCAGTCCAACAACGTGATAACCTCCAGGCTGAGCGAGGCATAATATCAGAAAGACACTTTCTTGCCATAGACACCAAGGCTGAAAGAGCCTTAGGCTGCAGTACTTGCATCGCCGACACTGCCAACGCGCCAGGCGCGCGTAGTGGAATATGCATGGGACGGCCGTTCCGTCATCGAGTGCTGAAAGCCCTCGGCAAACCAGGTACAGCAGTTGCACACCTATCAGCGATCCAACGCTGAACACACAACGAGGCTTGTATGACCTCGCGCATCGTTTGCGCAGGCTGGTGGATGCGTTATCAAGCACGCAATAAGTTGAAATGAGCAGAAAGTGTTAGTAGGCTGGCTGCCCGCGAAGACGAGAGACGCGAAAGAAGCCCAAGCGCACGATGCAGATCGCAATTACCCACATCTGCGGGGGCCATTCCGCATCCACCCACCTACGTATCGCGAACACACACACCTTGCAAAGACGGGCCTGTCAACTGCACGCAATTCGTACGGTCCATGGGATACACCTTCGTCTAGCTAATCTTTCGAGTTATGCTATCATAATTGGTCTCGCTCACATACAGTAAGTACTTTGCCGCCAAGACTGAAAGGTCGCAGTCATCTTCCCAGCTACCGCCTGCATGGCTGAAAGATTGCATTGCCCAGTCGGTTTCGATAAGCCTCTTGGAACAGAACGGGCCTGATAAACTCAGGATCAACGCCACCTGGGCATGGATTCATCAGCTGGCTCAGTTCGATATGACCTCGGAAAGAGGAAAGCTCTGGTAATCATGCCGCCACATGCATGACTTTTATACATCACCTACAGGCCGGCAGATGCTCGAGAGCCGATCAGACCTTATAGCTACGTGCGCGCAGAGCCAAAAGATGGAATGTCACGACCGGAATCCTGTCATGGACATGCGCAGAGCCTGGAAAGTATCCAGCTAGATTGTGGACAGGTGATTATGCTGCACTGGGTAACAACTTTGACTTTCGCTGAGCAGACTACATCCGACGCGGGTATGCAGCAACTGAGAGGCCACCCTCGTCTGGTGAAGCGAGGGATTGGGGAGCTGCAACGATATCCAATCAGCCCCACACCACCATCCCGTGTGCCTCGCCCTCTGACAAGCTTGCAAATGCATAATATCTGTTGAGATCCTGCTCCGCTCACGGTACCTGGCATGACCTGGATCCACATCTTTTGCACGAGCGAATACGCATTCTCTAAGAATGACACCGTCTAACAAAAGAGTCCATGATGGTGGTAAAACGAACAGCAATTAAAAAGCACACAAGCGTTCCAAGCTGGATGATGATTCTCCAGACCATGTGGACATGATGGCGGGCGCGGACGAACAAGACAATGAGACAGCTTATCAGGTGAGCTGATTTCGCCTTCATATCGCTAGTTCCCGATGTCTCATCGATATCTGACTGCCCTAGACTCCAAACAAAGCATCAGACTCCCGCGAACCACGCGATACGCACCAACGACCAGGACTAAATCGCCATGACTCGCGACTATCGGCTATCTTTGCTCCGAAAGCGTCCGGCATCGGTGAAGCAAAAGCCTCCTATCCACCACAAAAGGTCGGGACCTTTGTGCCAAAATTGACGCGGTATCAGAGGATTCAGCCGACTGCAGTCAAGAGCAAAGAGAACCAAGGCATTCGAAACCCTGCTGGTAGTGAGAAGCCCACTAAGACGAAGTCGCGAATGTTGAACGCCCTCAAAAAGCTCGAAGACACATACGAATACTCATCCATTGGGTCTAAGCAGGTCCGCTTGCTTATCGTCAAGCCAGGACAAGAAGATGACGACATCAACGCAATCCTACAGGTCGTTGATGAAGATCAACTTGGGAACGATGATTATTGCTACGAAGCTCTTTCGTATCACTGGGGCGAAGGCGAGGACTTGCACAGCATCATCATCAACGACGAATAGGCCACGGAGCCCATAAAAGATTTCACGGCCGCGGTACTTAGTGCTCAGAAGAAGCTTTATGCAAATCGTCATTATGTGCGACCAAATCTGTATAGTGCTCTGAAACGGCTGAGAGCACAGGATAGGCATGTGGCGTTGTGGGTAGATGCACTCTGCATCAACCAGAAAAACGATGCTGAGAAGACGGTTCAGGTCATGAAGATGAATCAGATAGTATTCCAACCGCAACATAAGATCAAACATGTGGTATAATTCTCTAGTTCACATTGTTCTCCTTCTCCCATTTCACCACATCCAAGACTACCTCTTTGATGGTGTCATGGCCACTCTTCCACTGGGTTCCAAAGACAGCCTCCGACTTCGAAGTGTCAATTTTCGCAAATTTCTCCGGTCCCCTTCGCTCGAGATTAGGCTGAAGTGCAGGAATCCGCTTGGCCAACTCGGGAGATTCGGCACGGAGATCGACTGCAATTGCTCGCAAGTCCATGATCTCGGGCGAAACTAACAGATAGCGTTCGTTGCCAGGGACTTTGTTCCGATCAAGGGCGGTGACGTGGGATTTGGCCACGTCGTCAGTGTTTCTGGAGTTTTGTCAGCAAATTGCAAAGTAAGTACTAGTTGAGTGTACTAGAGCTCCGCAAGGGCAGACCAAACCGGCTGGCTGACTCCCGGAGCTCAAGGACCTGGAAAGATACTCACAGCACGAAGGGAAGGATGTTGTCAACACCTTGAACGCCATCTCCAGCCAACAGCGCGGTATACACAGCTGAGTTGCCTCCCGGACCATTCGCGATAGGCTTGTATCCTGGTTGTGGGCTTCGTCCCGCGATCAAGGGCGGCAGTAGCATTACCACATCGAAGTCTGGTCGATTCGTTTCCACCCATGACCATGTCTTGTGCTCCGCGTCGGTCTTTGCAAATACATACGCAGACAGGGGGTCGTTCTTGGCCTCCTCAAAAGTGATGGGGTTGAAGTTCTTCTCCGAAATGACGATATTGGGATTAAAGAAATCGGACAGAAGCACGGTTTGCACAATTGATCCGCAGATGACAACTCTCTTGACGATTTTGCTCTTCTTGGCCGCTTCCAGAATGTTCTCGTCAATGGTCCACGTCGGCTCGATCATCTCTTTTACGAGATCACTTCCAGGGCCTGCAAGGGGAGTTGCGAGATGTACGATGGCTGTCGCGGATGAAGAAGGCCCATCAAAGGCTCCAGCAACAGTCATGTCCGAGATGACAGTGAACGTTAGTAGACCGGACTTGACGGCGTCGGCAAATTTGGACTCGAAGAACGCGATAGCGGACGTCTTTCGAATGACTATGTTGACTTTGTGGTTCGCACGGAGCAAGTGCTCAAGGGTGATTGCACCAACATTGCCAGTGGCACCGGTAAGAAGGACGGATTCTTGAGCCATGGCTTCTGACACTTCAATGTTAGCACCTGAGGCCGCCAAAGCTTCAAGGAGAGTTTCTTACCGCGTAATCGGTGGGATGAGCTGAAGGGGATAGTAGAAGAGGTTATAGACTAGTTGCTGATTCCGGTGCCGTTCCTGTCTGGATGGAAGTGGGAGTACAGCGCCTGATATTTAAGCAACACGCATGGTGGATTACTTGTCTTACAAACCGCAACTGCCCTCTTTCAATCACATTCTTACTTGGTTCGATGTTTGCAGCACGTTTCTTAGCAAGATCAGTAAACTACCGTTATTGACTTACCAACCCACCAACGTACACACCTAAAGTCTCTCGCGAGTCAACAAGATCACACAAGCAAGATCAGTAAACATAATGCCACGAGCGAAAAGCCGAGGCTAACCCAATTGGTCTATCCAGCTCCTCGCTTAGCTACCTAGGTACCGTACCGGACGGGCCAATGCCTCGTACGAGGCATCTGGTACACCGAATAGAACAAACTGTATCTTTGGCATGTGCAGTCGCATGGAAAATCCGCTTGTTGCACTTACATAGGTAACTCGCAAGGCTGACACGTGGTATTGCGCCCTCTGACGTCACACACATCCATTGACATCTCGGAAGGTAGATCACCTGGGCAGTATTCAGAACGCATCTCATCTATGGCCAGTGATGAAGCATGCGTATGCAACCGAAGGAGATACTCCACTTTGCCTGCGACAAAAGAGAACGGTAAACCTCCACACATGAGAGTGTCATGTTGGTGAGTGCGCTGGTGTTGGTGACACGTGGTGAACGTTAATCCCCCTTTCATTCCCACGCGTTTGCAGCGACCGGTGAGGATAGCAGTACAGTAAGCACGGGGATATATTCAGAAGATGGGGCTGAGCAGAACATTGGCGTTGCAGGATAGGCACTCTACCTAAGTCCCTAGGCAGACCACAGCTGGGCATGAACCAAGATGCGGTCCGCTCGCTTCATCTCGGCCCCCACGACCCAACACGCGGCGAATGCTCGAGATGCATTTCCCTACCTGGCGAATGTCTGGCGCGGCGGGGGCGCAGTTCGAGCGGGAAGTGGTATGTGTGGCGGAGTTTCAGGTCCGAGATAAGATCATAGGTAGGTAGGTATCACTTAAAACCCCATAGGCGTTCAGATGCTTTGCTATGCCATCCCAATGCAACATAAAATGCGCTATCCACATGCGATGTATGAAATTCCATATAGGGAAGAGCAATCGAGCGTGAGTGTCGACTCTGTGGGAAGCAAGCTATCTGGAAGGTAAGAGTTAGGCGCGTGGCTATGACGTCATTGCAACATTGGAACTGCTGCTAACCAGCGTAGGGAGCCCACGGACGAACAAAACAGCGACTACAGCATTGATGTTATTCATGAATCACGTACTAGCTCAACTAAACTGGAGAGCTTTGCCACGAGCACTGGAAATGAATCGCACGACGACGACTTCTTGCTTTTAACCCGATCCGCGGTGTTCCAGCCTCGGCGGCCGGCCAGGCGACCATTTCTGACAGGATGGCGACCCGGAGCAGTCCTGTCGCTCGTAGGAGCGATAACAGTCACCATCTTTAACCTCGTCGTTACGATATGGGTATGGAAGAACCCTGAAAACATCATTGAAGGGACAATCGGAACATTGAGCATTGGAAACTGTGGACGGACAAGAAGATTGAACGTCAGAATTCATCTACTCGTTAACATCCTCAGCACACTATTGCTATGCGCAAGCAACTATTGCATGCAGGTCCTCAGCGCCCCCAACAGGGTGGAGCTTGACCGGGCTCATGCGAAACGAGTATGGCTGCACATCGGGGTACCAAACTTGCGCAACTTCAGACACATTGGACGCAGTAGATTAGCCGTCTGGCTTCTACTGCTCTGCACCTCTGTGCCACTCCACCTGTTTTTCAATTCAGTGGTCTTCGCCAAACTTCAGGCCAACAACTACGCGGTCCTTCCTATCACACATGATTGGTTCCATGGAGCGCCGTATGATACGTCTAATTTTAAGAACCTCACGAAAGACATCACCGAGGAAATGGTGCTAGAGATGGAAAAATATCGGCCCAATCTTTCTGATGTCGTCGATTTAAGAAAGGACGGCACGATGCCGAGATACAAGAATATCAGCACGTCGGATTGCTTTACCCAGTACGACAACCACTACGTCTCCGGTGTGGGTAATGTTTATCTGGTGCAGGACTACCCCACAGTGTGGCGAAACAACACAGCGTGGCAATTGTGGCGTAACCCCAACACCTCGTATCATGTTTGGGATGACATCGATTCCCCGTCAGATCGTATAGACCGGACATCGCCGCACAAACTCGACCTTACGCCTACAACGCAGAGACTACCCGAAATAGCCTCACCAGAGGTTTATCCATCGAACACGTGGCGCTGTCCTTCGCATGTAGTCAAAGGCTGTGATGTCCGGAGTCGCTATGAAGTGCCGCGCAATCGGTCAGATTGGAGACCTTACGGCAATCGAATCAATCATTGCATAGTCGAGCAAGTCGAAGAATTCTGTAAACTACAGTTCAGCTTCTCTATCGCACTGGCTGTCATACTTTCAAACATTGTCAAGGTGGCCTGTATAGCTGCGACGCTCTTCATCTGTGGAGGCCATGCTCCTCTCGTTACGGTGGGCGATGTCGTGGCGACATATCTCGATGAGCCAGATCCGACAACCCGCAATCGCTGTCTGTATTCCAGACAGCTTATCGAGTCTCTTTGGGAAAAAGAGGGTAAGTCCCAACAACCAGCGCGGAAATCCATCCCCCAAAGATACAATGCAAAAGAGGAGAGGTGGAGGAAGGCTCCTAGTGAGAGCAGATGGATCTGGACATACGCAACGTAAGTCAGCAGACCTTAGCCCACGATCTAAGCTTATCATGCCCGAGCCAGTTATTTTGCCGTCTTCGTTTTCGGCATTCCAAGTCTTTACTATTCTCTCGTGGGTATGCCCTCGGACCCACGCGAACTATGGCAAATCGGTTTTGGCACCGTAAACGGCGCCAACCTGTTCAGCTCCAACCTTCCGCTCGTAGGTAGTATTATGCTTGCAAACACACCACAAGTACTACTGTCCTACTTTTACCTAGCCTTTAACGCACTATATACGAACATGCTTGTCGCACACGAATGGGCCTCGTATCTGAACGAGCGCAAACCCCTTCGGGTCACCTCTCCGCGTGGAGGACAGCGAGATACCCATTGGCTTAACGTGCCGTTTCGATATGCGATCCCCATGACAATTATCTCTGGCCTCTTCCATTGGCTCGCTTCCCAGAGTGTCTTCATGGTCCGCATTTCGATCACGGATCAAACGCGTCAACCTGTGAACCAGATCTCGACAGTTGGATATTCGCCAATGGCCATAATCTTGACGCTTGTCATCGCGACCATCATCGCAGGTTTCGGGGCAATGCTCTCGTGTTTCAAATACCCTGCTGGTATTCCTCTGGCTGCAAGCTGCTCCGTGGCTATTAGCGCTGCATGCCATCCTCCTATGGTGGACCAAGATGCGAGTCTGCGGCCTGTGCAGTGGGGTGCTTGTACACATTCGGGGTGGGGCAGCTATCGCCAGGAGACAGTCGGTCATTGTAGCTTCTCGAGCTTGCCAGTTGAGTTACCAATATCTGGACGGCTATATGCATAGGTTGACGAAAGCGCTTCCAAAGTTGTTCATGCAGGGATTTCGGGAAGGACAAAGGGGTTGGGTGAGCGACGCGCTGACATCGGCCCACTTTTGCGCGTTCTGGGGTATAGCCGGACTAAGACTAATTGAGCTAGCGGATGAATCACATTAATTACTGCCGACCCGCGCGAAGTTGCATCAAATCGTCTCTTCAACACCAGTTTAGTAGCCCCACAGTCATCATCTTCAATTTCCCACTCCATTAATGTGAGCGCTACGTACTACTGCGACCATCCCGAACAATGATCTGCGAGATCTTCTCTGCTAATGCATAGATGGTGCTTTGAGGATGGCCAGGCGGCAGGAATGGAAAAATACTGGCGTCCACAACACGAAGCCCATCTACCCCAAAAACCTTGGCCTCGGAGTCGACGACATCCATCTCATCGACTCGCTCGCGAACACCATCTCTGAGTACGCTCTTGCCCATTCGGCAGGTCGAAGAGGCGTGCCATACTGTGATCGCGCTGTCTCGGATGACTGCAAGAATCTGTTCGTCGCTGTCCTTGTCGAGGCCTGGGTACGCTTCACTACCCATGTATTCCAGTTGTGATGCGACCTCTTTTGTCGCAAAGACTTCGCGCATCCTACGGTACCAGGCGATAGCGAGCTCTTGATCGGCTGGATCAGACAGCCAGTTCGGGTTGATGGCCGGCGCAGCGAGTGGGTTCGACGATTTGAGTGTAATGTTGCCTCGCGACAGCGGTGCCACCATGGCTCCAAGGATGCTGACATACTTCTTGCCGTTCAGGGGCTGCTGCGCCAGGGGATAACGGAAGTTCCCTGCGTACGCATCGGCAGCGATGTATTCCACCTCGGGCCAGTCGTCAGGAAAGGTTTTCAGGGCATCCAGTGTGCTTTGGCTGAGTTTGTCGCGAATTCCTTCCACCTTCGACAGTTTTTCCCAGCCCAATATGTCGGCAGCATAGGTAAGTAAACCCTTAGCTTTCGTTGTGTACTCGACAAGCGCGTTGACCAATTCCAAAGGTCTGAGCAGTGTGGAACCTACAGTTTTGAACTTGACGGAGTATGAAGGACCGAATAGGACGTGATCCCACATGTTCTGACCAACACCTGGGGCTGAAACGATCTGGTCGATACCATGCTCCGAAAGCTGATCAGTCGGACCAACGCCCGAGAGCATGAGTAGTTGAGGAGACTGAAGCGTTCCAGCACTCACTATCACCTCGCGACGAGCCTTTATGGTATACTTTGCCAGCCCAACAAGGGCTGACACTTCGACTCCATTTGCTCTAGGCCTGGCAGAAGATTTGTCGAACAAGATTCGCCGCGCTTGCGTATGGGTAAACACCTTGAGATTGCGTGAGGCCTCGGAATTGGCTTGCACGGCGTGTATATAAGCGACCGACGAGCTTCGCGTCTGATCGCGGGACCGAATGGTACTCTGCGACCATTGGTACCCGAGCAACTTCCCGTTGTTGAAGTCAGTGTTCTCCTGGATACCGAAGGCGTTGAAAGCCTTCTCGAGGTAAGATGCCCAGATCGAAATCCAGTTTCCGTAGCCAACCTGCACAGGCCCACCGCTATTTGAAAAGCTGGATGCATCGTAAGTCGTCGTGATGTTATCAAGCGACCGCTCTCCGGGAGCAGTGAAGGTCACTGCTTTGTTGAAGAATGGGGTAAGGTTTGCCATGGTATAGCTCTGGTCACCAACAGCATCCGCCCACATCTGATAGCTTGCGGTGGTCCCGCGGTGGTAAACCATGAAATTCAAAGCACTGCTTCCACCCAAGCATTTGCCGCGAGCATAGTGGATTCGGCGATTGTTCAGTTGCGGCTGTGGCTCCGTGGCGAAACCCCAGTCTGTCGTCGGTACCATGTCGGCGAGGCTCGCTCCGACTCCAAAGAAGGATCCTGCTGGTGTGGTGCCCAAGACCGGCTTCGCGATCTCGTAAAAGCCTCCAGCTTCGATTATAGCAACGCTGAAGCCTGCCTCGGCTAGTCTTACGCCAACCCCAGCACCTGCCGTCCCTCCTCCAACAACGACATAGTCGAAGGTTTGCTCGCCGCCTAGTATTCCGCCGATAGCACCAAGTGTACCATCAATCAGTCCATCTCCCTGAAGAGTTGATCCAATGGTTTCGAGAATGGGGTCGAGAATGGGGTTGCCGGTTTGTGCGAGTGTTGATGCGACAAGGGAAAACAAGGCTGCTCGCCGTGTAAGAAGTCGTGAAAGCGGCGCCATGGTAGTGGAATGAAAGAACCCCTCCGCGGACACAATGGTCTATGGGGGGACCAGTTATTAGCATTCTTACCCACATTTGACGTGCGCCATCTGCGTTCTCTAGTCGTTCGGCCGTGCATGAAACTTAATTTTCATTGTCGACTAGGCAAAGCGAGTTGTTGTACACCATGTCGTGAATCGTGTTATGGTCTTCCAATGATGAAGAAGCCCTAGCAAGGATTCCATCCAATAGAAGATGGGATGGAAGGTGGCAAGCCTAGTCCACATTTGATCAACAGCCCCACAACATGGATTTTGGGCCTCTCACAAACGTCGAATTTACTAGTATTTGGGCTCATTGGAAGGCTATAATACGATTCACGACATGGTGTACGGTCACCTTCGGCGCTGTGGGCAGCGAGTCACGCTGATTCCCCCCTGGACCCATGTGCGAATCAGGGCCGTCCCTAGCGCGTGCTTTATTCTAGCAAGCGCCATACAACTAGAAGCGGGCTCCATGTCTATCGCATGGAGAAATACACGACTATGAAGGAGATTTGTTCATGGGAACATTGGAAAGACGTGCAGCGAAACTGTGACTATTGGCTCTTCATGATGCCGTCTGCTATCGTCATGCGCGCATTCTGCTCGCGAATCTGGGTGGCAAGATCGACCCCTAGGCTCTTGCACGTGTGCGTCCCGAGGCTCTTGACGATCGCTTTTCGTCGATCTTTCTACAGAGTTGCCTTAGTCGGCAGTGCTAAGACGCCGTCCACTTCTAGAGCTAGAACTACCTCTTCGGCCCACTTGCAAGTTGAACGAACCGAAACAGACATTATGTCGGCCCGCCTCCAAGGTTTTGCGCATCATCGAGCATCGCCTAACCATGCCTAGTAAGTCCAGGAGACAAATTACATTGTTCACCTCAGGCTTGAGGGAAGTCGCTACTCGCAATCATACCGTAAGTACAACCTCAGTACGCAGCCCGAACTAGGACCAGTCAAAGTCAAAGTCAAAGGCGAAATCATCCGACACCAGGAAAAACAGGTCTGCGGACTACAGTAACATGAAAACATGCAAAGAAGGTGACCTGACGTTGATGTAGGGTGTTCTATTTTCCCCAGGTTGACGCGCAATCGATTCTTTCTCAACTTCTGCCAACGCACTTCTACTCAATACGACTTCTCATGTCCCCCATCTCCTCCGCCTTCCAACACATATTCGAAATAGCCATCACCAACCTAAGCGACACGAGCATTAACAGGAATAACAGCATGTCCACTCCTCGGAACCTCGCCCTCTCCATACACGACCTGCTGGTTCGGTTTCTCGATAGTCTGGTGGACCTTCATTGCTACAATCACATTCCACGTTAGCCCTCAACCCCTCTCATGTATCTCCTTCATGCGACAACAACTTACTCAAACCATCGCGCTGGGGCTCAACTGAGAACGTGTCCGGGGTGCATTGGACGCCGTAGACCTGGCCCTTTTCAACCCATGTGCACTTTGACTCAAGACCATCGGGGTATTCCTCGTCGACGTAGACGGCGGTGATTTCGAAAGAGACGACTTGTTGGCTAACGTCTTTGTAAGAGCGGGTTACGTTCCAGGCGGCTTGGATGGGGTTGCTGGCGCCGACGGCGGCCGCGAGGGCGAGTGTGATGGCGGGGAGCGTGAAGTGCATTTTGGCGGTTGAAATGGGTTTGTTGGTTTGGTGGTAGGTGTTGGGCGAGTTGGTTCAGACTTGAGATGAAGGCGTGGGTGGATGGCAATGTAGTGAGGATGCTGTGGTTATATATTACCACCCCTCGTATTCCGACGTCAGAAGTATCCACGTTACTTCGTAACCTCAACGTCGAGCTCGGTGGTATGTGCGTTGTGTTGACTAACGGGCTGGCGATACGAAGATATGGTGGGATGGGTACATGGGTACCATTGTCAAGAGACGGTGAGGGTGCGTGTTCATACTTGGCACCTAGGAGATGGCGGTCTGGTTGATTAGTCTATTGGAAGCAGTGGACAACGTTAATCAAGCCCTTCGGCGAAAGCATTGAAGAGCCTGACGCACAGCTACATCCGATCTCTTGATGACTGGCATTGCGGATACATTTCAAGAAAGCAAGCGACGCCATCATCACTGCTAAGCATTCGCGGAAGATACGGGTGCTGCGGGGACCTGCAGGGAGCGTTATTCCCCTCATACACATACGGTAACGTGCGAAACATATCTGCTCATCGGATTAGTGATCAGACCCAGGCTTGATCCTTTAAATAGGACTTGCTATAGTAGCCGGCCCGATAGAACGAATGATTACTCCAGATGGTCTCATAATAGTAGGTCGGTCCACGGCTCAAAGAGACGTTCCGAGTGCCGTATGCCGACCCACATACACGCGCCACTTCCACGACGCCACATGCAAGAGACTCCGCTGAAGCGGGCCGTCAACGGTATGCCTCTAGCTTTTTGGTTTAATTCGGAGACCGAGGGCGTAGGCCGTTCCATTCATTGCCAGGCTTGTGTATCTAGATCACTTACTGAGAGGCGGTAGGGCGAGGCGGTGAAAGCACTTCCTAATCTTCCGCAGGCTCCGATAAACTGCACCTTGGTTTATGAAGATGAGATGCTGCCCGCGTATAAGAGATATTGTCTGATTTCCTTTCTAAACATAGTATCTACACGAATAAGTCTACACAGCAATAGCCACAAGAAGAACAAACATATATCCACTTCCCCCCATCTACCGCCAGCTCAGCCTCCTACCTAAAGTCTCAACTCCCACAGGCTCTCCTCGTCGCCTTTGCCGCTACTCTTTCCAGCACTAGCAACCATAGTCATCTCCGGCTCCTTAGTCGTCGAAGTCGAAGTCGGAGTTGGTTTAACGACCGTTGGGGCAGGCCAGTTGAATCCTGAAGACCAAGCTTTCGAGGAAGTAGTCATCGATGTAGTACTTGAAGCACTAGAGGAAGTTGTCATCGACGGAGTACTCGAGCGGGGCGGCCAGTTGAAGCCTGAAGACCAAGCCTTGGACGAAGTAGTAGCCGTGGACAAGGTAGAAGCCGAACCAGTGCTCGAAGGCTTCGGCCAATTAAACCCAGAACTCCAAGCACTAGAGCTCGTTCCATACCACATCTCATCCACATCAACAGACACCTCCCGACCCTCCCTCGCTTCGATCTTCTGCCCTTCCTTCTCGGGCCCTACGTAATCCATCTGGTAATCGCGCTGCGCACCAGCTTCATCCGCACCCAAAAGCGCTGCCGAGTACGCCAGATACCACGTACGACTCGCGCCACCATCAAGCTGCTCGTTGAAATTGGGGTTGGCGAAGAAGTCGTATGAAGCTTGTGGGTCGAACAAGGCTTGGTTGGCCTTGAGGATGCTCTTCCATCCGCCTTGGACTTGCTCGGCGCGGCCGTTGCTGAAGTACGTGTCCCATTCTTCTAGAACGAATTGCTTACGACGAGTGTACGCGGAGGAGGGGTTGAGCGGGATCATGTGGATGCCCTCAATGTATTCGATGTTTCCGCCAAAGTACGTGGTGTGATCGATCTTGTTCTCGAAGAGGATGCCGGTTGCTTTGTTCTTAATGAAGCCAGCGGGTTGGTTCTTGTTGTCGGCTTCCATGAGAAAATAGTTCTTGATACTACGCGCTTGGACAGCGAGTTGCAGATTTCCTCGTGCCTCCATATTCGCGTCTTGGATGATTCGGCCCCACATCTTGAGCGCGTAGGTGGCGAAAGTGTCTTCCGAGGTGGATTCTTGGTCTTTGCCGTCGCCGGATTCGTAGAGGCCCTTTGCCCAGGAGTGACCGTGAAACCAGTCGAAGGAGCGCTGGAAGGGGAATTCCGAGTCACTTACGGGGTTTGCAAAGTCGCGGACTAGGTTGTTGACCCAGGCTTTGTTGCTACCTTCGCCGAGCCATGTAGGGTCGAGATGGCCGATGACGGCAGCGGTGTAAACGAAGTACCCGTAGTGGAAGTGATGATCATTGTATAGCGTGTTTCCAAAGTCCAGGCCAAGATCTCCGGAGTAGCTGGCGCGTGACACGACACCCTTCCAGACCTGATCGTAGACAAGTGGCTCGGGCTGCGTGTTGTTGACGAAAACGTTGAAAGCGTCCTTGAGGCGACCTAACCCAGCGGAGGCGTATTGGCTGTTGCCCGTCATGGTGTTCATTGTGTAGATGATGGCAGCAAACTTGGCCAGTCCTTTGCCGGAGTAGTACATGCTGTTCAGTGAGGTCTGCGGAATCATGTTCTGGCTTAGCTCAGCTATGCCAGCTTGGTTGATGAGCGCGAGGGCTTGGGCGTTCAGATTGATGTTCTCCGAGCCTCCAGCTGCGCTGGGGTTCTTGGCCCATGGGGCAAAACCAATACTGTCGGGCAGATCGTTCTCCACCATTGTCATCTTGTCGGAAACAATAGCTCGTGCAAAGCCCTTCGTCGTGGTGACTAGTGTGATGTCTTTCAAGGCGGCCGCAGTTTGTTGGTCGAACGACTCGACATGATGAGGTAGCGCGTACATCAGCAACGGCCGCTCCGTTGCACCGCCTTTGGCCCAACTTATTGTATAACTCCCGAAAGCCCCGTTGACGTTCCCGGATATAGTGCCATTGACTGGGTATACACCGGCGCTATTGTCAAATATGCCCTCTACTGCCGTGCCTGATGGATTCTTCGTGACTTGGATCTTACCGACAAAATCGGAAGGGCCGGTGATGGTCTCACTATTCTCTAACACGAAGGGAGGTGTACCAACAGACCCGTCCGAAGTGGCATAGAGAAGCCAGTACGACCCATCGTTGAGTACGATCCGATACTTGTGCGTGATACCATTGATCAGCGCAACGTATTCCAGGGACAAGAAGAAAACAGTGGTCTTGATGACTGGTGTCGCTCTGTCGTAAACGGCTGTCATCATGCCCATGCCCTGAACAACAGGAAGAGACATCATGATGCGGGTACCCTGGAGGTTGTTTGGTCGCAAGTTCACATATGTGGAGAAGGCCCCCAAACGTGAAAGGGAGAGATATGTATCCGCCTTTAGTTCTTTTGCGGACAGTATGATGTGTTGGATACCGAGCGGTGAGATGAAGAATCGAGTGTCATCAGCATTTGGAACAAAAGCAAATCTGTCCCGAGTTGTGTGACTAATGGCAATACCTGAGATGGGTAGAAGTTCATGTCAGTATGCGCCTGACATCTGCGTATGTTTTTACGTACCGTTTGGACCACCATCGTTTCGGCGAGCCCACGAGAGAGAGTAAGGGTGTGTCCAGGTCGGGAAAGATTGGCTGCCAAGGAAGAAGTTGGCATAAAACTTGTTCGTCTGGGCCGGCACGTCTCTGTCGTCGATGTTCTGTCTCTGAACGGGGTGGTCTGCTCTGGAAGGGATAGCCGACGGAATCACTGCGCTCGCAATAGATTGGAAGATGTTTGACGAAGCTGGATTGAAGGGCGCTGTGGGACCAGGCTCAAGAGGCGTTTCATCGGGACACAGTGGTTTGGTGGCTGTTGTAGTGCCTGGGCCATCGACTGGATCCTTCGTGAAACCACCTGAAGGCAGGCCCGTCAAAAAGCTCTAGTCATCGTCAGATTCTACGTTTTGAACCCGTTCTGTGAGATTGTAACGTACACCGGTATTGGATGGTTCTACAGTGGGAGAGGCCGACTGCAGTGACGTAATAGCTGTGCTATAACTTGTAGTGACCGAAACGTCTGTCAAAGTGATCTCGCGAGCCGCAACTTTGGCTGGCCCTCTTCTTACTTCTCCTACCGCGGGCAGGCTGCGAACGGAAGAGGAAAGATAAAACAAGGCCAGAAGGAAAGGTGTCAGCTTCGCCATGCTGACAGCTAAAAGCGTATAAGTGCACGAGAAGTTAAGACAGGGATAGTAATCCAGACCAGGCGAAGTACGTGAATGTCCTTGAATCGTGTATGTGATGAAGGAATGTGTCGAGTGATGGACAGTGACCCGGTAAAGATTGCCTTGCTGCAGGGCGCGGCGAGCTATATAACCTGGGAAAGCAAGCCATGAGGTACAGTACCGTAGCGTCAATTACCGGGGGATGGCCATCCATATTCAGTATAGGAAGGTCGGTTTGTCCCATCTAAGACATCGACCTAAGACGTGAACGGTGGATACTCCAAACGCGGGGAGATTGCCCAAGTAAGTCCCTCGGAAAGTACATGCATTCGCCTGGTAGCACATACGGCTCTCGGGTACCTGAAGCCTCACCCCGCCGAAGGTCTCGCGACCAGTTCATCGGGTGCTTGAGCGCACAAATCGACCGTGGCGCCCGGGTCGTCCCATAATGCTCTGACTAGTAACCCTTAACATATGGCGATATACGTTCTTGCCTCAGACAATGGATCTGTGGAGTTGTGGTAGTCGATGAAAATAGGGCAGGCTGTACGGCTCAGAAGCGGTAAGAGTACACACACCGAGAAGCTACACGTTTGTCAGTAGATGCATACAGTATAGTTTCCATAAGTGTGGTATCGTGGATCCTTCGCATGACCAAACAACGTGCCCCTAACAGTTCCAGGCCTATTCGAGGGTTGGTAAGGAAGAGCCAGAGCCCGGCGCAGATCTCCTGAAGCGTTTGTGGGTGGTTCCGAATGATAGCAAGGTGCGCGCGAGGCTGACTGCTCCGACGGTAGACGTAAGACCATATATTCTTGGTAGAGGAGAAGAGGGATGGGAAGGCTGCACCTGACCTGCGTGTTTGACACAGTATTTCCCAACTCGGTGTGGTGCTTCAGCCGCATGATCATCGGAGCGAGGTATGTCGCTTGAGATGTGTGTAGAGGATGACATAGAAATTTGACCTCTTGTCAAGTAAAGTGGCGGTGCTACTTTGATTTCTCTAGTTGGGTTCAATTCGTCCAAGATGTTTAGCATCGTCGCAGCACGCTCGTGATGTAATCCTTGGTCCGGCTCGACATACCCAACAAATGCAGATGCTGCGGACAAAGCTGGGAAATTACCGGGCGCAAGAAGCGTCGAACACGAGATCTCAGACTACCGAAGCCAGCGCCGGGGTCTCGGTTGTCGGTCTCGAGACCTCGGTGGGACACGCGCCATCCGTCCCAGTGGGGATTTCTGCAGTGTGACAAGCGCACATGGTGGAGAGACGAGGCTGGTGTGCACTCATGGATATCTGGAAAGGCTTCCCCGGATGTTGCGCATGCGTTTCAGGCTTTCGCATGATGTGTGGCAAAGCCATGATGGCAGAATGGTGCAGATTGGTGATGCACAGAAGGGTGGCGAAGATTACATGCCAGAAACACATCGGAGGTGCTGCCCCTTAGCCCCGTTGAGACAGGACGCAGGCCATCTAACCAAGGGCGCGCCGAGACATAGCATGCTAAGGTATCTATGCGCAGTTAATGCGCACGCTAAAGTAGCGCCTTAGTAGATTAATTATAAATTATTCTAGAAATAATTCTACTTAAATAATAATAATATAACTCTACTAAACCTCTTTACTAAACTACGCTACCTATAATAGCTTACTAAATCTAAAGTGTACTCTAAGAAAACGTATAAACTATTTCTAAATTAATCTATAAATAATTCTAATAAATTTAGCCTACTTATAAGTAATTTCTCTAGCTTAACTAATACCTATTTAGGTACCTGCCTTTTTCTACTAACGCGTAGAGTAAACCTATTATCTATATAGGTTAGCTATACTACTATATTAGAATCTAAGGTAGAATTCTTTATAGAGTATAAATTATTTTTAGATTATTTCTTAATTATTTCTAATATTTCTTTTAGTAGAAATATATAAGTTACACTGCGCTTAGAAACTATCTACGCTAAGCTTACTAGCTAAAAATAGCGTTTACTAGGTAAGTTAGAAATTCTACTAACGCCTAGATCTAAGCTAAGATATATAAGTTTATTTAAATTATTTCTTAATTAATTCTTAATTAATTCTACCTAGGTTTCTATGTTTAGATTATAGCTACTTACAACGCTATCGCTAACCTCTCTACTAACTCTTCTGCCTCTTCTACTAACTCTGCGCCTATATAGGCTTCTGCCTAGCTAGAATCTAATAATAAGTCTAAGTTAGATTATTTATTAAATAATTTAGACTATAAGTTAGATTAATTAGTAAATAATTTAGACTATAACAATTTTAAGAACTCTACTACTACACTAGATAATAAGAAAGAGAAGAAAGAGTAGAAAGACTAGAAACACTCTCTCTAGAATATTATCTAGGTTAATAATTTAGAGAGAGAATAGATAAATTATTTCTTAAACGTTTCTAAATTGTTTCTAACTTTTATAGCTTAACTTTACTACTATAACTAATATAGTTAGAGACTACTATAATAATTAGCCTAAAGATAAGCTTCTCTACTAAGCGTGCAATATTAATAGCCTAGACATAGACTATATTTAAGGTAAGTTTTATTTAGATTATTTCTAGAATAATTTAGAATTATTTCTAATAGATTTAGATTATACCTTTTTCTAGAATAAAGAGAATAAGTGTAAATCTTGCTAGTTCTTCTTATACTTTCCTTCTAAGCGTTTACCTACTCTCTCTAAGAGTAGTAGTTTTAGTAGATAGTTAGGTGCTATTTCTAAGTAAATTATTTCTAGAATAGTTTAGAATTAATTTAGTATAAAAAGATGTATAGTATAAATAAAACAAATAAATATTCTATAACTCTCTCTCTACTATATACTTTGCAAATAAGTACTATTATTATATTATTAATAAGAATAATATACTATATCTTACTTAGTAGAATATACTAAGTAAAATATAGTTAATTATAAAGTATTTTTTATTTAAGTTTATAAACTTTACTTAGCTACTACTATTAAAAGGTTTAAGTAATAGTTAAAAGCTTATAAGTATATTATACTTTATTAAGATTTATATATAATTATACTATTTTATTAGTAGACTAATAATTCTATAGCTTATAATTAAGTTTTTAAAGAAAAAGGTCTAGTACTAGTATACTAAAGAATATAAAACTAAAGATTTTAGTACTTTAAAAGTAAATAAGCTAAGACGTAAAGCTTTAGTACTATTATTTCTAAAGTAGTTAAAGCTTTAAAATCTCTTAGACTAGCTAAAAAGCTATTTTAATACTAAAGTACTTTATAATAGAATTTAAAATTAATTTTTAAAAAGACTA